CTTCCTTACTACTCTCTGCACCAAGTCTTGCTCTCCAGTAATAGTTTGCCCCTTCCTCCCAGAGTGACTTTTGTATCGCAACAGAAAGCCACTTTCTTAATTAGTACCTTTAAAAGGCTTTCATTGCCTACAGAATAAAATCTAGACACTTCATCAAGGCTTTATGATTTCCTCCTAGAATTTCTGAATTAACCCCTCCAGTTCTTCTCTCACACTGCACCAGACTACTCATTCTTGCTCCTCTGTGATTTCAGCTCCTCTCTCCAATCATAGCAGACTACTGAGCATCCCCAAATACCTCATACCTTAAATGCTAATATACTTCCTTCCTTCTAACCTTACTGAAATCTAACTAAAGACATTGTATTGTGTAGAGACAAATTGAAAAAAAAAAAAAAGGCCTGGAAAACTCATAGCCTTCAAATCTCACCTCATACTTGCTTTCCTGAAGCCTTCCTCACTACAACATACACAGTACAATTGGTTATCTGCCAGGTCACTTTAATTCTTCGCCAAAAATTAGCTGACTTAACTATCAAATAGGTGAAGCTTACTGCTTGGCATATCTTGATGTAGTCCGGCTACAAAGAATTTGCCTAAGCATAATTTGTTGCCACACCTCTTTCTCCTGCTGGAAAATAGGCTTACTGAGAAATCCTTCTCCGGACCTCAAGAAGATGGCTACCGAAGGACGTTATTACGTTTACGTCATCACGTACTAAATATGCGGGTGGAGCCCCCAAGGGAGATTGTGGTGGGGCGGAGCCAAGCAGGAGGGGCGGGGCCAAAAGGGATCCCAGCGGGGCGGAGCCGGGGAAGAGGTTGGGGGCGCTTCTACTATTCAGCCGGTGTGCGCGGCGACGGGAGGTAGCGTCGTTGGCGTCCGCTCGACGCTTGATCCCGAGAGTGTGTCCAGGACCACCCGCTCAGATCAGGGACAACCGTGTAGACGAACAGAAGCGAGTGGCAGTGAGGACTGGCGGCCGGCGCCAGAACTCTGCGGGCGGGAAGCACCCAGAATCGGAGAAGCCCCGATTGGGGCGCCTCCTTCACCCTAGGGGCCGCGGCGACGGTCACGGGGCGCGGCGCCACCGTGCGCGACCCAGGCCAGGATTGTAAACCGACGCCCAAGCTCCTCCTCCGCCGGGGCCGCCTCACCTCCAGGCAGCACCGCGTCTCCTGCCCGGGCGTGGAAGGCACCTGCTCCTCCTCGCTGTCGGGTCTCCGCCCCTCGTCCCCCCAGCGCCAGGCCCGGGCTGCTCACCTGGACGAGCGCAGGCAGCGTGAGCCGGGCGCGACGCCCTTGCCACGGTCCCGGGAGGACGCAGGTGGAGCGGGCGCGGCTTCGGGGAACGCAGCGCCGGCCGTCACGGGGTCGGCTCGGGCAGGAGCCGCCGCGGGCTGGACACAATGAACAGCAGCAGCGCCAACATCACCTATGCCAGTCGCAAGCGGCGGAAGCCGGTGCAGAAAACGTGAGTGACCGACCGACCCGAGCGCGTCCTCTGCACGGAGGCTGGGCGCAAGGAGCGCACGGGTAGCTAGGAGCGCACGGGTAGCTAGGCGCCTCCCTCGCTCCCAAAGCCCTGCGGTCCGGGGGGAGTGGGGGTGGGAATTAGATCGATTCCGCACACAGCCCGCGGGATCGACAGCCTGTGGAGAGACCAAGAACTTAGGGTTTTCCCCCGTTTTCAATTTTTACAGGAAAAAAAAAAAAAAACAACTAATGCCTGCGCACTCCAGGGCAGACGCCCGCTCTCAGGTTTGCAACTCTGTTCTCTCTTTTCTGGTCCTGATTTGTTGACAGCTCTGACCTGCTTGGTGGTGCTCCGGGATTAGTGAGCCTAAGCCTGTCTTGCAAAACCCTGAAATTCCTCTCCAAATATCCACATGGGTTAGGTGAGAGGACAGTGTTAATTCTGATTCTTGGTAGAAAGCTAGGTGGGCGAAATGTTTAAAGAGCTACACAGGTGTTGCCTTGAAGGAAGGGGCTGAGTGCCTCTGAAGGTATTTTTCTGTCCACAGCAACAGAGTTTCTGTCGTGCTGTCTTATTTACTTGTTAGGCAGTGATTTTGTAGCGATCTGTGATCACGTGGGTGAGGTGTGCGGAGCAGGTAGGAGAGCCTAGTGAGCAGGTAACTGCGCACTAGGGGATTGGTGGTATTCTGAGTCACCTTTTTGGGAAGCTTCCTTCTGCGGTGGTTTTAGGATCTGTAAAATAAGATTTGGAACTGGGTTTGTTGAGAGAAGTTTTCATTTTTAGTATCTACCTGTAATTCCTTTTTCTCCTCAGAAGTTTTGTCAATTCTAATAGAGTGATTGCAAACTTGCCTTTTTGGTGGGATGTTTGTATGAGATGGGAAAAACTTAAATTTTATTTTTCAGAAAAAAGTCACACTTGAGACAGATTTCCTTTTGTGAGTTGTCTATCTCAATACGCATAGTCATAATTATCATTTTTGAGCTTTTAAAATTTATCATTTTTCAAATTTTCATAAACAATCTTAAGAACACTTAAATGTTTACTCAGAGGAATTCAGAAGTGTGCATTTTGCTTAAAACTTAACAGAAGGGAACCAGAAAACAATAACAGCTTAAGATTTGAACAGTATTTAAAAGTAGGTACTGATCTAAATGTTTCACTATTCTGGAATTTTCATTTCCTTTAAGAATTTCAGTTATAGGAGTTCTTCAGATTAGACTTATAAATTGACATTAACCCAGGGTGTTCATGAATCAGATTTGGACGTTTTATGGTACAGTGTATCTGGCAGGAATATTACCTACTCAGGAATTTCCTGTCCTGGCAATTCTGAGACACTGATTTACAATACTTTTTATTGTGTGGAATGGTTTCTTATATTTTAGTGTCTAAGTTGGTTTTGTCCTTGGTGTTTAAAATTGAGGTGATTCCCAATGCTGGTTCCACATATCCTCTAATACAACATACACTTAGCATTATCTATAGTAGGGGTATCTCAGGATTTATGCATACGGTCAGAAAAATTGAAGATGTCCCTTTTGGGCTTCAATGATACCGAGTTTCAGTCATTATGTTAAAAAAGAACATAAACGGTTTTGTAAACAAAATTAAATACCTTAATTTTATATTCATTATAAAGTTTTACACTTTTGGTGCCTAGCTAATATTTTATGAGAAATAGTCTCTTTTAACATATTACATTTTTCTTTTGAGTAAGATGTACCTTTTTATTGTATCATCATAATATTTTCATTACTTCCTCAAACTTCAGTATATTTGTATTTAGTCATTTCTTATAATATAACTAAAATATTTTCCTGATTCACATGTGTTTTACTTTGTAAAATTATTGTAGATGTTTATCAGATCTTTACTGAGCACCATGCGTTTGTTTCTAATCCTACAAATATCTTAAATGTCACTGACTTGCTGTGTAAGAAAAGCCTAGTGCTGGCATTTACATAAGTGAAAGTATTTTAAGTTATTTTTACTTTAATGAAAAGTAGTTAGGTTTATAATGCAGTTAATCAAAGTTCACTCTAAGAATGAGGCTATTAAACTTTAATGTGAGCAAATTACTGGTTTGTGGGTAATGAGACTTCAAACGTGCCAACATGGGGAAAATGTATCTTGTTTGAACTGAAAATACTCTCCAGATCTACTTAACTTTGGTCCTTTAAGTGACAGCCATTTTATTTTACTTACAGAGAAGATGTGCTGTAGTGTAATTATAGAATTCTCTTTTTAAAAGGTGGCCACTTAAATATACATTTCCATAAGGTTTTGGAGTAAAGTAGGTGACATAATTTTAACCTGAAGCCCTTTCCATCTTCAAATGAATTTATTGAGCAAAATAAACTCCCTCTAGTGGCAGGTCTCACATTGCTAATTACCTTCATTAAGAAATAACATTTTGAATGTGTAAAGTGTGTTGTATACAGTAGACTGTAAATAAATCTTCCCTTTCTCTGTGGAGTTATGAAGTTAGACGATAAAAGGATCTGAAGCAACCTTGCATCCAATCTATGTTCTTATCTTCAAGAAGAAAATGCCAAAATGACCCTTAGCAATGGAACCTACTGTAACTCTTAGAATTTTGTTCCATCCTAGTAAATCTGCTCTTCAAAAGAACAAATGTTTTTATTTAAATACTGTTCTTATTTTATTCTGTCTGGAGACAAAAGCATTTCTGTGTATTTGTTCAGTTGTTCTGACTTAGGAAGATAGTTGAAAAATCCATTATAGCATGAAATAGAATCTTCTCTAGTGATAATAGCTTTGAATATAATTTTGGAGTTTTATTAATACCTCAGAAGTTTTAATGGTATTTCATTTTACCATATTTCTAAAAAGTTAGTACTGAATGCTGGCAAGTAATAGGCCTGGAGTAAATGATATGTACACTTAACAGAGACACTGCAGTAGTGATCAGCCAGCCCTCAAGCAGTGTCAGAGCTGGAGGTAACTCCTCTTACCCTCCCTGACTGTTAGATCACATCCTGTTAACACACAGAACAATGAAAGCTCTCAATTCCTTAACACACTTAATAATAGTAACATAATATAAAAGCACCATCTTTCTTTCTGTTCTTGGCCAATTGCAGTTCATTCTACTTAAAACATTATGTATATAACACAAAATTTCTGACTTTAATACTTACATTATAAAATACTTATGAAATGTTTCATGTAAATGTGATATGATGCCATTTTCTAAATAGCATCTAAGAAAACAGGACAGATGTTTTCAATTACATAATTTTCTCTCAGATAGCCTTATTTAGAGAGCTTATATGTTGTGGATGTAAGTGCTCTTGCACATTTAACTCTTGAAGTGAAGCACGTGAAAAGTGTTCAGCTATAGGTAAATGGCAAAAAGAGGAAACAGTGAGGTATAAGTAGAAAGCACCAGATCTAAACTAAAAGATGAGGTCTAATTTCCTCACTGCTGTAGATTTGGCCATTTCTTGATGAACAAAGCAGGGCAGTGTAGTTCACTGCCACTGTTATAAGTAAAACTAGGAGAACAAAGCTATTTCATAAACTGTGAGGACTACTAGAGATACAAATGCATGCGCACATAAGTTCTGTTCTTTAAATATGTGAGCTCACATTACCCCACAACAGTCAGTTCTCCTGAGAAACAGTAAGAGGCAGTGCATGATTGTGTTTTCTCAATTACAGACACAGCTGAACTGTGCCATTTCACTGGTGCATAAACTTAAATGATACATGCTTATTTGCGTGTTTAGTTAAAACAGTTACTTAGAAATAAGTACTGTGCAAATCTTTAGCAACAGTACCTTTCTACTTCCACACTTCTCTGTAATTTCCTTTTTGCACACACAAAAATTACTATCAAATTAGCACATACTCTGATGTAAGCATTGAGCACAGTGCTCACTTTTATTTCACTTTTATAGTAGTATCAAGGAAATAATATTTAAATTTTACAGATAAGGACCTGTGATTCACATTCAGAATTAGTCAGGTAGTAAATGAAGAACCTGGGTTTTTATATTGGATCCCAGGTCTTTTGCTCCAAACTGTATGTTCTGACCAATTTCACAGTATGCCTAGGTGAACATCATCGATGCCTGTGGTGCTCCATATCCTAGGATTGTGCTTGTGTGTAGTAGTAGAGTATGTGAATATGCAGATTTTCTACTTGAGGCACCCTTTACATACTGATTTGCTTTCCTATATTTTCCTGTTTTTCAGTCTGTTCTTTTCTCTTTTGGGGGGATGAAATATTCTGTAAAAATGTATTCCTATAAAATAATGCATATACATTTAAAACTCAGTGGTATATTGAATTTTGCCTGTTAGGCATTATTGTGTGATGTTTTATTATTAAGGATTTTAGTATTCTCTTACCTCTCCTTAACATTTTTCACCTTTTCTCATCCTCATAACTTTTGATTCAATCCAGTTTTAGTGTTTCATTGTCTTTGACTTTGCAAATACTGTTTTTTGTTGAGCTAAATAGTGTGTTGGAGTTCTTTTCCTTCTAGTTCTATACTGTCATTGATTTCTACCTATTTCCCATCTTCATATTTATTTGCTTCTGGAGGTAACTGTTGTTAGGTTTATTGGAGACAGAATTTGTGTTTCTGTCGCTTTGTTTTCCGTATTGTGGTGTGGTTTTCTGAAAGAGAAGGGTGGTTACAGAAGGCAGTGTGTTCTACCATCATGAAGCGGAAAGTGTCTTGCTGTCTTTCAGAGCTGATTTGGATGCTTGCATCGGCAGGAGTTTTTGAGCATTGCTTTTACTGAGTAACACACTGGGTGTCATTTGCCTTGCTATAGAATGCATTTCCTCCTAACTGAAGAAGCAAGCTCTTTAAAGATAAGACTACTTTTTGTTTGTCTTTGTAACTACTATCAGAGATTCCTGGTGCCATATATGTAACAGTTATGGGAGATTTACAAATGTCACAGTTGACCATCACTTAAAATTTGCCTGATCATGTTTTAGTGGTTCTGGTGAT